TACATACATAACAAATAAATAAATTTTTTTTTCAAATTAACACAACTGTAATTTACATATATGGACACAAAATTGTCTATTCTCTCTATAAAGATATACTTATAAGACTTTACTTATACATTAATTATTACAAAAATATATGCAATACAGAAAAAATAGACTAGCATAACTCTATTTTAAATATTAATATATTAAACTTTTATATTTAAAAGATAAAATATATTTTTTATGTAAAAGAAAATGGCTAAAACATCCCTAAGCATCCACATCAACAAAAAATACTAAATGAAAGGAGGAGTTTGGGGCTTCTAAAGCTATCCACCTCAGCTTTTTAGAAAGCTCTCTAAACTTGCCACATCAGCAAAATATAGTTATTAGTAAAAACTAAATAAAACTAAATATTATTTTTTGAATCAGTAAAATAAATGTCATTTAAATATACAGGATTAATACGTACTCCTTTTTGTAATATAATGATTATATTGGACAATAAATTGCTCTAAAAACTTAAATAATAGTTAATAGAAATAAAGTTACAAAATAATAATTTTTAAAACAAAATTTAAAACATTCACAAATTAGAAAAATCTAAAACATTCACCTTTTAGAAACATACAGATTACATACATAACAAATAAATAAATTTTTTTTTCAAATTAACACAACTGTAATTTACATATATGGACACAAAATTGTCTATTCTCTTTACAAAGATATACTTATAAGACTTTACTTATACATTACTTATTACAAAAATATATGCAATACAGAAAAAATAGACTAGCATAACTCTATTTTAAATATTAATATATTAAACTTTTATATTTAAAAAATAAAATATATTTTTTATGTAAAATAAAATGGCTAAAACATCTCTAAGCATCCACATCAACAAAAAATAAATTCATTACAAACTCAACATGTAAGGAAAACTAAAATGGTATTTTGGGTTAAGAAACTCCTTTAAAAATAATATAACAGATATAATTAATTTAATTATAAAGACTCATCAAAATATATGTATGATTTAAGAAAAAAAATTAAGTAATTATAAGCAAAATACAAATGTACATTTTGCACTTTTTGAGTTTTGAGAAACTTGACATACTTTGTTTAACAGAATGAGTTAGTATGAACTTGTATTTGTATATGTATTACTTGCTTTATTCATCTACATTTCTATAGTTTAAATATACTTCAGGAACCAAATAAAAATTACAGTTTATCAATATGATTGTGATTTTGTATACTTACTATGTAAATATTACTTTTATTGATATAAAAATAGTTATTTTACGGATTTGTAAGAGTTTAAAACATTGATTGTTGTTTTGGATTTGAGACTGCTACTGAAATAAAAACATTACACTAACACAATTGAAAGGAAAAAAATTCAAATTAATTGGAACAGTAACCAGATGCTTCAGTTGTACTCATGTGTTTACTATGTTATTTTATTTTTATTTAAAATTTAAAATTATTTTAAATTAAATAAAACAAAAACTTATAGTTGTTGGATTCAATTATATATCAAATTTAATTTAAGAAAAAATAGTTTTAATAATATTTTGAAAGTTGGTGAACAACAATGAGTTTATATACAAATATAAAGCTTTAGATTAACAATTAATTTTCTTATATATCAAGTTAGTAAATTCTTAAATTAAATCATAATACATTTTCGAAAAAATAACAAATACATTTTTATGTAAAATAAAATGTCTAAAAACACCGCTAACCATTCACATCAACAAAAAATAAATTCCTTATAAACCCAACTTGTAAGGAAAACTAATATAGTTTTTTTTATTGGGTTAAGAAACTCCTTAAAAAATAATATAATTTATATTATTAGTTTAATTATAAAGGCTCATCAAAATATATGTGTAGTTTAAGAAAAATATTTAAGTTAAATTACAAGCCAAATGCAAATGAACCTTTTACATCTTTTAAGTTTTGAGAAATTCAACATACTTTATTTAACAGAATGAGTTAGTATGAAATTGTATTTGTATATGTATTACTTGTCATATTCATCTATATTTTTATAGTTTACATATGCTTCAGAGACCAAATCAAAATTGCTGTTTATCAAAATGATTGTGATTTTATATACTATGTAAATATTGTTTTTATTTATATTAACAATAGTTATTTTACAGATTTGTAAGAGTTTGGAACACTGAGTTTTATTTTGTATTTGAGTTTGCTAATTAAATAAAAATACTAAATAAACACAATTGAAATGAAAAACAAAAATCCAAATTAATTGGAACAATTATAATCAAATTTAGTTAAAAAAAAATAATTTTAATTATATTTTGAATGTTAGTGAATAATAGTAAGTTTATATACAAATATTAAGTTTTAGATTAACAATTAATTTTCACATATATCAAGTAGGTAAATTCTTAAATTAAACCATAATACATTTTTGATTACGTTAAAAAAATTTCAATGTATAACCATATCAAAACAATATTAAAAATCAAATATTATATTTAAAAAATTAATTTGAAGTTAAAATAAGTTAACTTAAATATTAATTAAATATATATATATAAACAATCCGCGTGTAGTGCGGAAACATTCTTAGTTATATAATAATTTTAATATAAATTAATTAATATTTTTAATTATAAATTATAAATAAAATTTAAACCAATCATATAAAGACAATACATAAGATAAATCTCTCATTTAAAAGACTCTATTAATTCTCTATTCTCTCTTTTTTTAACTTTATTCATATTTAATGTTGAGAGACTTGGTGAGAGACTACCAATGCAGATGGTCTAAGATACTCTAACGTCCAAGAACAAACTTTGATCCCTGCGAACTGCAGAATCCCATTACTATCTACTTTAAAATCAAAGAAAGTAAGTATCTCGTCGCTTATGATATTAAATCTGAGAAATTAGGGTTTTTTTTTAAAGGTTTGGAAGCGGCGGAGAAGACTTTAAAAGGTGGGCAGTTCATTAAATAAGATTGTTTAACGGTTGTCCCCGATCAAAGAAACTAGAACTTAGCATCCACAATGCATGGTTTCTTATGATTGATATCTTATTTATATTATAATAATATAAACTAATAATATAAATAAAATTATAAATTTAAAAGAATTGAATCAATCAGATCATGACACATCATTGTTTTGGTTTGGAGACAGTATCTAAAGTATCTACTTTTAGAGACTAATTCTCTTCTTCTCTCATTCTTTTATATTATTTTAATTTTTTTATTATAAGATACTTATATAAGAGATCAGCGTTGAACCTGATCTTAGGCCCAATACTATTAGAGCTTTTTAAAATGTCATATATTTAGTACGTTGGATGAAAAGAGACAAAGAAACAATTTCAGAATCGCTTGGAAACAACTTTGTCTCACCACATCACTTTATTTGCTTTTATCATGTGACAACAACATTTGACTACAAGGATTTCTACGTACTCGTGGGAAGAAGAAAGTATCTAGAAAGTATCTGATAATAATTATGCTCTGACATCTTGTTAGTAGATGTGGTTAGTGTTGGAGCTGGATTTCGTACAATAAATCCGGCCCACTCAAGTCCAATAGGCAGATCCAAACTAAGTATAAATTGGCTCGCTTCATTCATACGGCCCAAGCCCGATCCTTTGTAATGATCCAAACCCGTTCCGTTTGACGAGTTCGAGCTCTAGCTTGACCAAATCCCGAGAAACAAGGAACAATTTAGACCAAGTCGAAGCATATTCCTACCAATTCAAACGAGCTCGAGATTTTCAAGAGAGGTCACTACACGTAGCTGAGATATGCGCTAGAGGTCGGAGCTCGACATGGCAAAATATATAAAGGAGGCAAACGGCTTAATTTAGAGGACCTTCGGATGGATCTTCTTCTATACTTTCTAATACTCGAAAATTTTGTTCTTTTTATTTCATCTCTTTCAAAAAAATCCGGTAACCGTTTAATTCACCATATTAATATCAATATCAAGTATTCATTTCAGTTATTGCTTGCTTATACCGTCAATCTGTTCGAGAGAATCTAACCCTTAATTCTTCTAAAATCATTTTCTTACAAAACACATAAATTTCTAAGTATGGATTTCTGTATCCACAGTTAGTGTTTGTGTTAATGTTAAGTAACTAGCAAAGTCTCTCGGGAAAACGGTTTCTTGCCTTGTGATTTAGCGGCAGGATTAAGGAATTTCTAGGGCTTTGACGGCTTGGGTTTAACTCAAGAGACAATATTGCATGCACAAGGCTGATCAACTGGCTTTGCAACAAGAATGGCTACAACACCGTTGATTCTTTCCTTCTTTTCAAGATATAAAATTCAAAGAATGTTGCAGTTCAATCGATTCTCTCAAAATCCTACGTTGTGGATACATAGAAAACAAACCCATGATAATAAAACTAACTCTCACAAAGGTCAAGTGAAATTTTAAATTATTTCCACAAACCGTTTGACAATCTTCGAGGTTAGGGTTAGTCGCTGACGAAGATTTCGTGTCACGCTGGAATCGAAGGAGAAAAGCACGACGACCCAATTCGTGGCAATTCCGGTTCCATCCGGTTAATTGACTCAATGCCTTAAAAATTGGTCTCTTAACCGTACTAGACCTGACTCGAATAGCCGGAGTCCCGTATAGCAGTTCTTGCCTCTCACGCAAATCTTGAAAATTTGGGGATTTAGCTAGGGTTACGCTTTGTCTGACAGGCAAGAAATCCAAGACTTGCTTCTTCATAAACCCTTTTCCAGAGAAAATATATACAGTACACAAAAAAATATTGTCGCCATTGTGATGAAGTAGTGGTCTGTTTTTGTGTGTGTCAAATACTTAACTGTATCTCGAGATCAATTGCGTTTGCTGATATAATCAGTTAAAAGGATATATATATACACACATTCAGTTAAACTAGAGTTTACAAAATTTTATATTTGTATAATATGTATCCCTCCGGTAAATCCTCTAAAGTAAAATGCCCACAAAGATTACGGTAATACATATACATCTATTGAGAAATTATGTTAAGAAGCGATGCCCGTGTTTTAATCAACCCTCGAAACAATTCTTCTAGACTTTTCTCAAACCTTTCAATCGATACCTCGAGGTCCTCAAGCTTCTTCTGAAGATCTTCATGAGAGCAAGAATCTCCAGAAATCGCTGAATCTACACTCTCTAACTCGTTCTTGACAATCTTATCGTAATTATGAGACTTCTTGTTCATGATAAGGACCAAACCCAACTTGCTCCTTATGTCGTTCCCGTTTTGTCTGCCCGACAAGAACTCCAAGAACAACTTCAAGACTGAAACGGTCATCGAAACAACGCGTCTCATAGCGTGAATCACGGCCAAGAAATGATTATTACCGTCTCGATCTCGATCATGATCTCTCATCACTAGCCCTACATTAACGTTCTTCAAGGATCCAAGAAGCTTCTTCACTTCTTTCCTCATGTTCTTCCTAAACCCGACATATCCCCAGAAATCGACGATATCTTTCCTTCTCCTAACACAAGATTGTAGACCAAGAACGTTCTCATGAGTCTCAACCATGAGATCCCTCGAGACGTTGCATATATCCATTAGCCTCAACGACCCATCTAGCATTTCGTCCATAAACTCTCTCTTCATATTCTTCCTCTCATCATTAAACGACAACACATTTCGCGTTGAATCCATCTTTAGAAACTCCTCCGTACACTCGTACAGATTCCCTAACTCCACTAAACCGGAGTTAACCGATTCGGATGACGTCATTGTCTTCGTGTTCCTAGTGATAAGAAGTTTGTCGAGCGATTCCTCGATCGCTGCTGTGCTAGGATGAGATCTTGAAGGTAAGCTTATTGACCTTACATGATTCTTGATGATCTTCATCGCCATATTTGTTATAATTTTTGTTGTTGTTGTTGTTGTCGTTGAGCTTTGTTTCTCTATACTGATTTTATTCAACAAGCTATATTTATATCATATATGGGGTTGTAACGTATGTTACGTCAACCAACAAAACTTCAACAATAATAAGATTTTTTATTATTTTATTTTGTCCGATTATTATGGGAATATGTGTGATTCTGAGTTGTCATGTTTTTTTTAATATAAATTCGATTGTCAAATTATGCGTAATAGTTTGGCCACAGAGTTGATGAGTCATCCTCTGTTGTGCTTCCGGTTATGCCACATAATTAGTCCTGCAGCCGATTATTTAGAGTTAAATTAATATCAACGGTCTATAAATTGTCTGGGTAGGTGAAGAAATGCAGATCTTCCTCAACCATATTATACCATGTCGTATTCTCCCTAGACTATCTGTTACGTTCTCCTATAGTTTAACAAAAAATTGAAATAAAGTAATATAAAGTATTTAGTAGTATGATTTAGCCTCAAATTCTAGGGCTATGACACGTATAGAGAAGAGACTCGAATCTTTTGTTGATAATTTGTATCCGCATTTGATCGGAAGCAGGAAAGAAACACTGCAACGTGTACATGTAAAAAAACAAATCCATGTGCTAGCAAATGAAAGATCAGTTTTGATTGTATAGTTTTTTGTTTTGTTTTTAAGAACTTATTTTTGTTTATTTGACATCGATTAGTTCAATTGTTAAAAAATACTACATACTTTTAAGAGATACTTTTTCCGTTTCATAATAAATGTTATTTGTAAAAAATGTATCTATATTGCAACTAGATGTATCTGGATATATTTTAAATTTAATATATCTAGATATATTATAAATATATTTTCTTTAAATAATACTTATTATAAAATAAAAAAAGTAATATTTTATCTCTAAACATTAATACTTATCTATTTAAGTTTTTGTTTTTAAATATCGTAACTCTCTCTCTCTTACTGTATAAATCCCCTCTCTCCGTTTGCAATAAAAATTACTTACGATCACTACATTAATAAAAGAGATAAGACTATCTCTCCTATTCTCTCTCTCACGTTTCTCTCCTTTCTCTTTCTTTCCAAAGACACACTTCACATATATACATATATTGTATTTATATCTCATTTATATAATAAATAATTTTATAACATATTATCAGCACGAGTATTTTTATATTCTAAAGTCAGGTCTATGCCTAGAAAGTAAAATTTATTTTAATTCAATTTATTTTAAATTTATTATTTATGGAAAGATAGATTCTGCCTTCTTCGTTTATATATGATGTCAGAATAGTAGGCTCTGCCTCCTCTGAACAGATCGTTATGGTAGGTTATACCTTCACAATCTAAATGATCACATGGTAGACTATATCGCTTCAGATCATATTTATTTATTTATTGTGTAAGAGATTAAAATCTTCATATTTGTTCATTTATTTATTATGCAATCAGCAATTGTATGGTAGGCTCTGCCTCCTCATATTGCTTTTAATTATTGTCTTTTATTATGCCGTTATTATGCTCAAATTTTTGATCTAACGAATTAAGCTACTGTTATTGAGTAATAATTTGTCAAAGCTCGAGATCGCCACCTTTGACTTGTGTAGAAAGAATTATATGTCTTGGGTGGTAGGTGCAAAGTTACATCTATAGAAAAATGATCTCTTGAGCACTATCGATATATCAGAAACGATATTTGATGAAATAAGGCAAATATCATGACTTTTTTACGCTACCATATCTATGACGGTTTAAATGATAAATCCATCACGAGTAAAGATCCTGAAGATCTTGGAAAATAAGTGGTTGAATCTCCAGGCGAGAGAATTCACCCAAAGCTCGGAGTTGATATAAATCCTCCTGGTAGCTTAATAATATAATAAACTCGTGATGAGAAACCATCAGTTTTGTCCAACTAAATTAACTCCATTTCTAGGAGAGAATGTTGAGTAATCCACTTACAGTAAGTGTGATGGACAAATTTAATGAAAGAAAAGGATGATGGTTGGGACGTTGAAAGACAAAAGCTTAATGGTTTTGATGTATTATATGTTTTTGCTTTGAATGTTTTTGCTGTAGGTTCTATTGTACCATAAGCTGTATTGCTAGGTATGTGTTTAATATTTATTAATACATCTTTTATGATTATTTTAAATTCAGAAAACACCAGAATTTGAGACTATGGATGGAGAAATATGTTTGGCAGACAGTGCTACAATGCATATGATTATTAAAAAATAAAAAGTATTTCTCCAGTCTCAAAATAAGTGATTCCGCTGAAAGCGTGAAAACGATATCTAGTAATGCAAAAATTATTATGGGCTTTGGAAGAGTCAGTTTTTCAATGCCAAGGGGAACAAAGTTTGAGATAAATAAGGCATTATATTCCTCAAAGTCTTACAGAAACTTATTAAGTTTCAAAGATATCCGCAGAAATGGATATCATATAGAGACTATGAATAAGAATCGCATTGAATATCTTTGCATTACATCAGAGAGGAAACATATATTGGAAGAATTGAAAATGTTATCCTCTGGATTATATTGCACAAAAATAAACATGGCTGAATCATATTTTACAGTAAACCAGAAGTTTACTAGTACATTTAAAGTTTGGCATGAAAGGTTAGGCCATCCTGGTACATTCATGATGAGAAAGATTGTGCAAAATTGGTTTTACCATCCGTTGAAAAACGGGAATATATTACAAATGGGCGAGTTTTTATGTAATGCTTGTTCTCAAGGAAAACTCGTAACTCAGCCATCACCAGCCAAAGTTGGGAATGAATCACCAGAATTTTTGGAAAGAATACATGGTGATATATGTGGGCCGATCCACCCATAATGCGGGCCGTTTAAATATGTTATGGTTTCGATTAACGCATCTAGTAGATGGTCACATGTGTGTCTATTAACCACACGAAATACGGCTTTCGCTAAATTCATTACCCAAATAATCAGGTTGAGAGCACAATTCTCTGATTATGTTATAAAGAAAGTAAGGCTGGATAACGCTGGTGAATTCACTTCACAAGTGTTTAATGATTATTGTATGTCTTTGGGAATCGATGTTGAGCATCCAGTTTCACATGTTCATACACAGAATGGCATGGCTGAGTCATTGATTAAACGGTTGCAATGGATTGCAAGGCCGTTAATATTGAGAACAAGACTCTCAATTAATGTATGGGGACATGCTATTTTGCATGCAGCGGCCCTGATCCAGATACGGCCAAGTGCATATAATGAGTATTCTCCTTTACAATTGGTATCTAGACAGGAGCCAAATATATCCCATCTTTGTATGTTTGGGTGTGCGGTCTATGTCCCTATAGCGTCACCCCAAAGAACAAAAATGGGACCACAAAGAAGATTGGGAATATACATCGGTTATACGTCACCGAGTATAATCAGGTATCTTGAACCAGTAACTGGTGATATGTTTATGGCACGTTTGGTCGGTTGTCATTTTAAGGAAGATGAATTCCCCACGTTGGAAGGAGGATTGAGAGAATCACCAAAAGATATCACTTGGTGTATAGAATCTTTGGCTTATCTTGATCCTCCTACCAATCAACATGAGATGGAAGTTCAGAAAATTGTACATATGCAAAATATGGCAAACCAGTTACCAGATGCATTCACAGATACAAATAGGGTGACAAAATCATATATCCCCGCAGCAAATGTTCCATCCAGAATTAGTGTTCCTGAAGAACACATTGATGGGAACATATCAAATAAACTTAGGGTTCAGTTAAAGAGGGGGAGACCGATGGGTTCTAAAGATAAAATTCTCCGAAAGAAAAAGAATATGGGAGAAGAAAGTAAAAGGGTTCTAGAAGAACCATTTTGAAAGAAAAATGTCTTGAAGACATTTGTGAAAATGTTCTAGAAGAACCATATAAAGATATTCATCATGGAGACGAATGTAAAACAGAAAAATATGAGATTTCCACCAATTACGCCCAAAATAAAGAATTATGGATCAGAGATAAAATAAAAGATATTGATAAAATACTTTTTCTGTATCTAAAGAGCTTAAAAGCGATGATCCAGATCCAAGGTCCATATTAGAATGTCAGAAAAGACATGATTGGGAGAAATGGATAATAGCCATTAAAACAGAATTATTCTCCCTGAATAAAAGATAATGTTTTGGACCTATTGTCACAACACCAGAGCATGTAATGCCTGTTGGATACAAATGGGTGTTTGTAAGAAAGAGAAATGAGAAAAATGAGATCATGAGGTATAAAGCGAGGCTTGTGGCTCAAGGTTTTTCTCAAAGATCGGGAATTGATTATGAAGAAACATATTCTCTAGTAATGGATGCAATAACATTCAGATTTTTAATGAGTCTAGCAGCATCCATGAATCTAGATATGTATCTGATGGACGTTGTGACAGCATATCTATATGGATCACTCGAGAATGATATATATATATATATATATATATATGAAAATTCTTGAAGGATTAAAAATGCCGGAAGCATTAAGATCAACATCTAAAGAGATGTGTGCGATCAAGTTACAGCGATCACTTTACGGATTAAAACAATCCGGACGCATGTGGTATAATCGCTTAAGTGAATATTTGTTAAGTAAAGGTTACGTCAACAATACAATATGCCCTTGTGTATTTATTAAAGGGGTGTATTGGATTGATGATTTGAGATCATTTATAAATCACCTAAATTTGAGGAAAGTTTAATAGGATTTGAGATTTGAAAGAATTTTGCAAAATTATAATTATAAATTTTGAAAGTGATTAGAAAGGATTTGAGAACATTTGAAAAACAATTTTTTTTTCCAAATCAAGAGAGTCAATGAAAAAGTTATGCATTGTTGCTTATACACATAGGTTGTTCCTGAAACAATGGAAGGCAAGCCTTTTACCAAATCTGCGGTTCCTCTTGTTCTGAGAAACATTTTTTTTTTTCTGTTTGCTGCTCTTTGTGTAGTCTTGAGTTTTTTTATGGCAT